AATTAAAGTTAAGAATTTTTTTTTCTTATAAATATTAAAAATACAATATAATTATTTGAATAGTTAAATAATTTAATAAAAAATAATTAATTAAAAATTTTAAAATTATACATTTAACTAAAAATATAATTCAATTCTTATTTTTTAATTTTAAGTTCTTTCTTATTTATTATGTTTATATATTATTTACATTATAATATAATTATTAGCTTGAAATTTAATTTATTTAAAATGAATAGTAATCAAATTATAAATAAATAAATGATGTGTTTCCCATGAATTTACTTGAACTCTATAAAATTCAATGGCGATAATGGTGGGTTTTAAAAATATAAATCCACATCTTTTAAACTCAAATTTTCCTGCCTTTCAAGGAGTGAATAGGAGAGCAAAATTCACCTCAGCTCCACCTCATTATCATCCTTTGTAATTAAATAAAGATTTCATTGCAGTAAATTATATATATATAGAGAGAGAAAAAAATCTACTTACTTCAAGACTTGGCATATTAACTTTATCCAATAACTCATGTTCCATATCAAATTTTTACAATTCAATCGTTAAATTTAAAAGTTCTCAATGTATAAATTAAGTATGCAACTTTTTAAAAAATTGAAAACATATGATACTTCATTGATAATCATACAAGTATTTTTTACGTTGCTTTGAATCTATATAACAAAATATTACACAATTTTTAATTTATTTTAAAATATGTAGGCTTTGAGGAGGAATTCACTTACTTTAAGAGTAAGTTTACCTATAGTTGTTTCACTCAATAACTCATGTTTTACATCAAATTTTAATGATTTAACCGTTAAATTAAAAGTTCTTAATGCATAAATTAACTTTGTAGATTTAAAAAAAAAATGAAAATTATGTAATACTTCATTTCATTAATTCAAATTGATGAATAATTATAAAATATTTTATACGTTGATTTGAGTTAATGAAATTAAGTATTTAATAGTTCTCAAAATTTTTAAAAACTTTGCAAAACTTTATGTATACATTAAGAACTTTTAATTTAACGATTAAATTGTTGAAATTTAATGTAGAATATAAGTTATTGATGAGTAAAGTAAGTCTAAGTAAACTTACTTTTGGAGTAAGGATCCCTTCTCTCTTTCTCTCTCTCTATATAACTTATTCCAAAAGTATGTCTACCTATACATATTCTACTTAATAATTCATATTTTACATTAAATTTTAACGATTCTACCGTTGAATTGAATGTTCTTAAAGTATAGATTGTGTTTACAAATTTTTAAAAATTTTGAAAACTACTTGATGGCTTTTTCTTTAATTCAAATCAATCTATAAAATATTTTTATGATTATCTGTTAATTTAAATTAATGAGAAAAAAATATCAAATAATTTTAATCTTTAATTGCAGACTTGGTTTATACATTAAGAACTTTTAATTTAACAGTTGAATTATTAAAATTTAATACAAAATATAAATTATTAAGTAAAGTAAATCTAAGTAAACTTAATCTTAGAGTAATTTATAAACCCTCTTTATAAATGCATTCATACATATATTATATAATTGTCATTTAAGTAGAATCGACCATGTCATATATGATATTCACTTCTTTTCTTGTTGAAATGCAAATGATTTTTTCTTCTTCATATTCACTACTACAAGAGGAACATTTTACATCGATTCGTTTAGATATTTTACATCAGTTTTACAGGTCATAAGTAAAACCGACGTAGAATATGGTTGTATTTTTCATTTATTTACAAGTATGCCACCGCATTTATAATTTACATCGGTTCTACTACAACCGATGTAAATATAGCGATGTAGAACAGTATTTTTGTAGTAGTGAATGCTCCTAAGGATAATCTCACACACAAAGCATAAGTCTCTAAATTCTTCAATCAAATCCAACCCTTAAATCATCATAAACGATATACCAGAGGTTATCATAATCAAGGCATCTGCTACAACAATTGGTTTTACTTCTATGATCATCTCTAAAGATTAAGCACCTAAGCGTAAGTTCACTAGGTATACATATCAGATCTCTAATTTCACCACTCCATCTACACCCAAGTCAAACTCTTATCCATCACCTTATCCTATAGCCTCATATCTTGTCACCAAAATTAAAAAAAAAAAAAAACCAAACAAATTTGTCTTCATTACTAAGCAACAATGAAAAACTTTCTTACATGTTAATGAAGTAGAAGGGTTACAGATAAGGAAAGATGACATGTGGCTTCTTGTTAAGCCCTTGCCTTATACTTTTATTGTTAATTAGAGCATGTTAATAAGTTATAAGTAAGGATTATCCTAATTAAAATACACACATGATATAGTTTATTATCATATTTCTACTAAAATTCAAGTAGGTGTACATTAATAATTGTTTGTAGAGTTTTTCTAAAACACACTCACTTATTTTATAATTAAAGTTAATAATATGCTAGAGTTATTAATGACGTAATAAAAGCATGTCGTATAAATAGTTCTTAAAAATGATTATTCCTAATAAAATTTACTTTTAATATTTTCTTATATATATATATATATACCTATTGAGCGAATATTTACTTGAAACCATAGAATTTCTACTTTAAAAAGTTCTAATATTATTTACATAATGTCAAGAGAACAATAAATGTAGTTATTTTTTATTTTGACAACCTTGTTTTATTCGTGACATGGAAAGCTTCAAAAAGTCATATGTTGCCTAAAATTTATTTCCTATGTTACTATATAATAGGCTATATAAAAAATAACAAAGAGAAAAAGAGTAAAAATGACCTCATATATGCCATAAGATAGACACGATTCAAAGGATTTAGATTCCTCCGATAAGAATGATAAACTTCTATCATTAATTAGACTAGCCACACTTCCCAGGTCCTCAATAGATGAGAAAGAATATCTTGATTCCTTGTATGATCTTAGCCATTTCCTGCATTTTGTAGAAGGCATAATATGCAGAGTCAAATTAATATGCCAATGATGATATCTAGGATGAAAGTGAAAGGCTAGAAAGTTCTAATAAAAGAGAAATCAGTATAATTATAAGCTCAAGTCATAAGGAACTTTATTATTTTTCAAGTAATGTTTCAGTAGAACACACCTCCAGGCTTTCTAGATTTACATTAGGAATATGCCAAAAATGTCATTAGAAGGCACATGTAACTAAAAAGGGAGCAGTTCAAACTAACTAGGCCAAAAAAGTAAATGCCAACATATCAAGCATGTTAGTGCTAATGTCTCAAAAATATAAAACAGTAGAGCAGTTCAAACTAGTTGGCATAAAATATTTGTGAATATATCGCAGGCAACGCTAATACCAGGTTTAATACAGAAAATAAAATCCCCATTCCATTTGACATTTGATTTGCACTGTGTCCTTGTTACTGGCTGAAAACTTATCCAATAAAATAGTGAACAACATTGGAAAACTCATTATAGGAATAAAATGAATAATAAGATTAGTTTGGAGTTGTTAAATGGAAATTATGAGAGCTCAAAGTCTCAAGCCTTCTTTGCTCGTATATTAAAAATCAAAAGCAAAGTTCTGTTATGTATTCCCTAAGCATAAAATAGGAAAAAAAAAACACCTATTTAATGCTAATTTGAGACAGGTTTTTCTTCTAAAGAAATTTATTTTAAAAAACTTCTATCTTTGTTTCCAAGCTAAATAAATGATGTCTGCAACTTCTATCTTTGCGGGATGTCCCAAACACACTCACGAGAATGAACTTTTGACATCACAGGCATGATATCTCATAACCAAAAAAAAATATTTCATTAAACTAAGTTAGTTTATTACAAGAAACCAACGATCAACATCAACAACAAAATCCTTATCATATTGAGCTCAGTTAAATACCAAATTCTTAGTGAATATCAAGCCAAACTTAAGAAAATAACTGCAATGAAGCACTAACAGATGAAAACACTAGGAATATATTAATTTGACCTTCATATTGAACAACCCGTGCAGGAAAACTAACTAGGCAAAAAAAAGTAAATCCCAACATATCAAGCATGTTAGTGCTAATGTCTAACAAATATAAAATAGTAGAGCAGTTCAAACTAGTAGGCATACTTTTCTGTACTTTTTGTTAATCAATTCAAATTGTAATCCCGTTTTACCTAAAACTTTTCAAACTTGTTGTATTCCTTACTTATTAAAAGATAGTAATTAGAAAATAAGTTTTGAAAATACTTTTTTCTTTTTGGGTGAAATTAATTATTGAGATGTTTTAAAGTTAAAGGAGATTGATTGCCAAAAATCTAATTCAGAGAGTCCAAATGAAAGCTTTAGCAGAAGCATAGATTTTGATATTAAAAAATTTCAAACCTTTAAAGTCATGTAATCACAACTAAGTATGTATCTTCCATCCTTCCCAAATTTTATGTCTGAGATAGAAGCAATAATCTCTGTGAAAAATGATCTGGACCCTGGAGCTTCTTGTTCCTCAAATCTGCACCAAAGGGTATTACCTATTAGAGTCTGGCAGGTATAAAAAATTACATAAAAGCATACATATAATAGACTTAATAAAAATTCTGCTTGAAAGTCTAGACCAAGAAGGAAAAATAAATGACCTTTCCAGTAATTCTGTCTACAGTTTCAACATTTGTTAAAAACTGAAAGCCTTATGGGGGCAGCAGGATGCTTAATTGTTAGGAGCCAAAAAAATTACCCAAAACCAAAAGAGTATATAAAAAATTACCCTACATCCATGAATTCCCAAACACTATGTTCACCACACTCAAACAGCCATCAATACAACCTTAAATACCCCTGCTTGTCACACGCAAATCCCCTCTCACTATAAAACGCCCAACAACTTGTTTTTACCCTTGATTCTGATAATATTGAACTCTAATCTACTTCGAGAAACACGGTAACCTGTGACATGTAAGCGTCCCAATCTATCTTCGTATCTGAAATTGTTAAAAGCTCAGTTTCAGCTTCTGCATTGAATTGAAATTGAAGGAGAAGATATGGAATTGAAACTTACAGGGGACGAATGCGATAAATATCCAACACTTTAGTCTTCGCCTATACTCCTATGCGGTAAATATCCAAAACACTTGCGGAACCTACATCAATTCCAAAGTTCAAACAATATAATAAGTGAAAATTCTATCACCAAAACATTAACTAAAATAGCAGTGAACACACACACAAGTAAAACATAACATAAATCTGCACAAATCAGAACCACCAAGCTAGCAAAAAAGGAATAAACCTCAAATCGAAGGGAGAACGCTCAAAACACAAAAACAAATCAAGAAATACACCATACTCATTCTTATAGTACCAAAATCACACAACCATCGAATTAACTCAAATCTTAATATTAAATGCGGTAGATTTCCACCGGCTAAATTAACCCTAATAATCGAATAGATTCGTAACTAGCTTTAAAATCATGTCTCAAAAGAAAACAAATCATTAGAAACTTATAAACACCAGAAGATTAAAAGGGGGAAAATACACAACGAAACACTTTCGCGGCTTAAAAAGTCACACGCGAATAGCTTGAACCAAATTGGCGAGAAATCGAAAATCAAAACAAATGAAAAAAAAAAAGCAGATTTGGAGTTTTTAGATCTAAAAGAGAAGAAGAGGGTTTCACAAAGCGGAAATGGAATACATAAATGCTCACTTGTGGATGGACGAAACGCTACGTTTTTCGCAAAGCAGATTATGAGGAAGACAAGGAGTGCGTCGGCGAAGAGAAGAGCGAATGCGAAGGGTGTTTTAGGGTTTTGGAGTAGAGAGGTTCTTCCTCTTGTTGCTCGCGGCGGCTACCAAAGTTGCTGAGTGAAAGGGTTTAGTAACACGGGTGTTCGTGGGCCGGTCTATTTCCACATCGGTCATGAGAAAAATCGATGTAGAATAATTCCTGATTCTAGTTTTACATCGGTCATAAGTAAAACCGACGTAGAATATGGTTGTATTTTTCATTTATTTACAAGTATGCCACCGCATTTATAATTTACATCGGTTCTACTATAACCGATGTAAATATAGCGATGTAGAACAGTGTTTTTGTAGTAGTGAGTTTTATTCATAAAAAGCATTTCTATCTTAATTAAAGTAATTATAATTTATATGTTTTTAATATTTTGAATGTTTTAATTATAATACTATTATATATTTATACCTATATATTAAGGAGATTCCTATTTTATTATACACAATATTATTGACAATTTTAACTTTTAAAAAACTACATAACAATAATTAATAAAGATCAGAATTTTTTTTTATATTGTATATTTTTTTTTAATTCTCTTAATAATCGTCTCCTACCTTCACTAACATAATGTTTATTTAAACAAAGATATGAAATGCGTTTTACTCATAATTAAGTTTATAGTTATAGACTTATAGCCTATTCAAATTAAGAAGTTTCACACTTTTTAGTGTGTATAAAGGATAAAACTTTCAAACATTGTGTATAAAGTATAATACTTAAATCTTCCATATTTAGAGTGGTTCATAGACAAATGTCACGGGATAACATAAGAAAAAAATTCTTCTTAAAATACAAATAATCATTTTATATTTTTCGTTCATAAAAGCTGCATTATTAAAGTTAATTTATTCTTTTGTACATCATTTAATTTAATTTTTAATTTGATATTTATGTAATTAAAATATTACTTATTACTTACGTATGTTTTTAATTTCTCAATTTTAAGGTAATAAATATAGCGATGTAGAACAGTGTTTTTGTAGTAGTGAGTTTTATTCATAAAAAGCATTTCTATCTTAATTAAAGTAATTATAATTTATATGTTTTTAATATTTTGAATGTTTTAATTATAATACTATTATATATTTATACCTATATATTAAGGAGATTCCTATTTTATTATACACAATATTATTGACAATTTTAACTTTTAAAAAACTACATAACAATAATTAATAAAGATCAGAATTTTTTTTTATATTGTATATTTTTTTTTAATTCTCTTAATAATCGTCTCCTACCTTCACTAACATAATGTTTATTTAAACAAAGATATGAAATGCGTTTTACTCATAATTAAGTTTATAGTTATAGACTTATAGCCTATTCAAATTAAGAAGTTTCACACTTTTTAGTGTGTATAAAGGATAAAACTTTCAAACATTGTGTATAAAGTATAATACTTAAATCTTCCATATTTAGAGTGGTTCATAGACAAATGTCACGGGATAACATAAGAAAAAAATTCTTCTTAAAATACAAATAATCATTTTATATTTTTCGTTCATAAAAGCTGCATTATTAAAGTTAATTTATTCTTTTGTACATCATTTAATTTAATTTTTAATTTGATATTTATGTAATTAAAATATTACTTATTACTTACGTATGTTTTTAATTTCTCAATTTTAAGGTAAATTTATTTTTAGTTACTCAAATTTAAAATCGATCTTTTTAACTTTTGTAATTCTCAAAATTGTTATTTTAATTTTTATACTTAAATTTTGTAAGGAAATCTATCAAATATTGTCACATAAATTTTATCTATTAGCATTCTTTTTAGTGAAAACATCACCTTATACCTATCTAATGATGCATAATTATTTTAATCTATCATTTTTAGATATTAGTGACCTAAATGACTAAATCAAGATGTCTAAAAAATTATAAGAACTAAAAATTAATTTTAAATTTAAGAGACTAAAAATAAATTTATCTTATATTTAAAAGACTAAAAATATATTTAAACTTTAAAATATCTAAATTAATCTTAGTATTTTTTTTAATAATGATGTGCTGTGGTCCTTTCTGATTGTTTTAAAATCTTTATTCACGTAATGATACAAGTTATTTATTTATTTTTATTGTATCACACAAAATTAACGTTATTAACTTTAATATGATGAAAATGGTTATATTGTATTTTTTTAAAATTAAGAGACCAAATTTAATTTTTTAATAATATAAGGAATAAATTGAATAAATTAAATAAAATTAATTAGGAACAAAAAGAGAAATTTAATTTTATATTAATTAAATTAATTATATAACATCAGCTAAAATGAGCTGAAAATTAAAGTAACTAATAAAAATAAAGTGATACTTTCAAAAATGATCTTCAAGTTCATGATCGAATTTTTGATTTTTAGTTAAAGAATATAAATGTCAATCCAAAATACACCATACCTTATCTCATTTAGTTAAAATAGATTATATATATATATATATATATATATATAT